CACAGCTGATTGGTAGTATTTATTTATTGATCTGCTATATTTGGTAGTATTGATTGATTGATTTGCTATATTGGTAGTATTTATTTATTGGTCTGCTGTATTGATAGTATTTATTTATCTGCTGTATTGGTAGTATTTATTTATTGATCTATATTGATAGTATTTATGTATTTATCATTCTGCTGTATTAGTAGTATTTATTTATTGGTCTGCTGTATTGGTAGTATTTATTTATTGGTCTGATCTGTACTGGTAGTATTTATTTATTTATCTGCTGTATTAGTAGTATTTATTTATTGATCTATATTGATAGTATTTATATATTTATTTATCGATCTGCTGTAATGGTAGTATTTATTTATTGGTCTGCTGTATTGATAGTATTTATTTATCTGCTGTATTGGTAGTATTTATTTGTTGATCTGATCTGTACTGGTAGTATTTATTTATTTATCTGCTGTATTGGTAGTATTTATTAATTTATTGATCTTCTGTACTGGTAGTATTTATTTATTGATCTATATTGAGAGTATTTATTTATCTATGCTATATTGGTAGTATTTATTTATTGGTGTGCTGTATTGATAGTATTTATTTATCAATCTGCTGTATTGGTAGTATTTATTGATCTGATCTGTACTGCTAGTATTTATTTATCTGCTGTATTGGTAGTATTTATTAATGTATTGATCTGTATTGGTAGTATTTATTTATTGGTCTGCTGTATTGGTAGTATTTATTTATCAATCTGCTGTATTTGTAGTGTTTATTTATTGATCTGTACTGCTAGTATTTATTTATCTGCTGCATTGGAAGTATGTATTAATTTATTGAACTTCTGTATTGGTGGTATTTATTGATTGATCTATATTGATAGTATTTATTTATCAATCTGTTTTATTGGTAGTATTTATTTATTGGTCTGCTGTATTGGTAGTATTTATGTATTATTAGGAGTAGCTTTCATGTGAATATTGATGATTGTTTGTATCAAGCTTTTCCTGAATGGTCTGTTTGGGAGAGGAATGTACCGGGTGGCTCCTCGTTCAGTTTCCCTGTCTTATTTATGTTGTCTATATTTACCGTGGTGGTGACTTTGATTGGAAGTGCAGCTAATGGAAAACTACACAAAGGCTGGAATATTATGTCTCACTGCAGTGCTGCTTTAAAGGCTTCTCTGCACCCCTTTCCAGCAGCAGCAGAGCTGCGTGCCACAGATGCGGTAGTTTACTCATTCTGGGATTAGGAATTGAGCTCAGTACTCTATGTATGTATTCTCCGCCATGCATGATATGTATGCATATTGGATCGTGAGAAAAGAGCAGCCACGAAGCCAATTAGCTTATTATTTTTCTCTTCCTATGTGGATTAACGCTGGTCCATTTTCTGTTCGTGCTTGTCACCTGACATTTTAGGAATCGCTCGAATGTCTTGAGAAAGGGAGCTCTTTCATTCTTCTCTCCCTTGCCCTTCCCCAAGCAGCTGCTCTTCTGACGTCCTGGTTTCCCTTGTCAATGCAGTTGAATGGCAAATGAAAGCCGAGTGATATTACAAGGTTTTTGGGTGGAGTAGATACAACATTTGGTTTTGGAAACGGTGTGTTGTCAGAACGACGCGGTACTGGGTTGCTGCGAGTTTTCCAGGCTGTATGGCCATGTTCCAGAAGCATTCTCTCCTGACGTTTCACCCACATCTATGGCAGGCATCCTGAGAGGTTGTGAAGTCTGTTGGAAAGTAGGCAAGTGGGGTTTATATATCCGTGGAATGTCCAGGGTGGGAGAAAGAACTCTTGTCTGTTTGAGGTAGGTGTGAATGTTGCAATTTGACACTTTGATTAGCACTGAATAGCCTTGCAGCTTCAAAGCCTGGCTGCTTCCTTCCTGGGGGAATCCTTTGTTGGGAAGTTCTAACTGTGGAAGGCTTTCATGGCTGGAATCACTGTGTTGTTGTGAGTTTTCCTGGCTGTATAAATGCTGCAATTGACCACCTTGATTAGCAATGGATAGCCTTACTAGGAGGCTGCCTTTTGGGTTGTTGTAGGTTTTTTGGGCTACATGGACATGTTCTAGAAGCATTCTCTCCTGACGTTTCGCCTGCATCTGTGGCATCTTTTTGTTTGGCCTGATTTCCCATCGAATCATTTCGAGATAGCCTTCTTGCAGGTGGGGAGGCTGGTGAATGTTCTGCTTATATGATTTCCTATTCGGCTCGGATTTGATGCTGACATTTCTCTCATCGTCATCCTATATGCAGAAGGGGTTAAAAAGGACTTCTGTATGACGCCTATGGGGCGGGGGGGGGGGGTTAAATGGGTCCTTTGGTGAGTTTCAAGAGGGAAGCGTGGTGTTTTGGACGCTCTAGGACGAATCTCGTCGTGTCTACTCGGAAGTAAGCGCCTTTCCATTCATTGTGGTTCCATCCGTGGGAGGAAGTGACTGTTGACTTAAACTCAATAGGCTTTGGGTTGTTGTAGGTTTTTCGGGCTGTATGGCCACGTTCTAGAAGCATTCTCCCCTGACGTTTCGCCTGCAGGCATCCTCAGGGGTTGTTAGGTCTGTTGGAAAGTGGGATATTGGGTTTATATATCTGTGGAAAGTCCAGGGTGGGAGAAAGAATTCTTGTCTCTTGCAGCTAGGTGGGAATAGGCTTCGTATTGTTGAAGGTTTTCATGACCGAAATCACTAGGTTGTTGTGAGTTTTCTGGGCTATATGGGCATGTTCCAGAAGCATTTCGCCTGCACCTATGGCAGACGTACTCAGAGGTTGTGAGGTCTGCTGGAAACAAGGAAAATGGGGTTTATATATCTGTGGAATGTTTATATATCTGGGTTGAAACATTCACATCTAGCTCCAACAGACAAGAGTTCTTTGTCCCACCCTGGTCATTCCACAGATATATAACCCAATTTTCCTAGTTTCCAACAGACCTCATAACCTCTGAGGATGCTTGCCATAGATGCAGGCGAAACGTCAGGAGAGAATGCTTCTGGAACATGACCATACAGCCCGGAAAACTCACAACAACACAGTGATTCCAGCCATGAAAGCTTTCCAAACAGAATCAGGGCCAACTAACACTTCCCAACAAAGGATTCCCCCCAGGCAGGAATCAGCCAGGTTTTGAAGCTGCAAGGCTATTCAATGCTAATCAAAGTTTCCTATTGCAACATTCGCACCTACCTCGAACAGACAAGAGTTCTTTCTCCCATCCTGGACATTCCACAGATATATAAACCCAATTTTCCTAGTTTCCAACAGACCCCACAACCTCTGAGATGCTTGGCATAGATATAATGTAATATAATATATTGTATATACATATAATATTTAGAATATAATGTAATGCAATATAATACTAATAACAATAATAAGATATTGTATATTTATATTACATGTAATATTACTAATAATATAACAATATAATGGTATAGTACAATATAGTAATATTTAACACTGATATTGTACTGTGCTAATAATATAGTATATTGTGTATATATATCTTGTAAGCCGCTCTGAGTCCCCTTCAGGGTGATAAGGGTGGAATGTAAATGTTATAAATAAATAGATGGAGCAAAACGTCAGGAGAGAATGCTTCTGGAACATGGCCATACAGCTTGGAAAACTTATAGCAACCCAACAATAGGCTTTATAGGTGATTGTGTTGAAACAAGCTGAGGGTTTAATGTATTGTCGAAGGCTTTCATGGCCGGAATCACTGGGTTGTTGTAGGTTTTTTGGGCTGCATGGCCATGTTCCAGAAGCATTCTCTCCTGATCTTTCGCCTGCATCTATGGCAGGCATCCTCAGAAGTTGAGGAGTCTCACAACCTCTGAGGATGCCTGCCATAGATGCAGGCAAAATGTCAGGAGAGAATGCTTCTGGAGCATGGCCATACAGCTTGAAAAACTTATAGCAACCCAGTGATTCCTGCCATGAAAACCTTTGACAGTACATTAAACCCTACAGCTTGTTTCAACACAATCACCTACAAAGCTATGAGTTTTCCAAGCTGTATAGCCATGTTACAGAAGCATTATCTCCTGACATTTCACCTGCATCTATGGCAGGCATCCTCAGAGGTTGTGAGACCTACAATAGGCTTTGTAGGTAATTGTGCTGAAACAAACTGCAGGGTTTAATGTATTGTTGAAGGCTTTCATGGCTGCATCTATGGCAGACATCCTCAGAGGTTGTGAGACCTATAATATGCTTTGCAGGTGATTGTGTTGAAACAAGTTGCAGGGTTTAGTATTGTCGAAGGCTTTAATGGCTGGAATCATTGAGTTGCTGTAGGTTTTCAGGCTGTATAGCCATGTTCCAGAAGCATTCTCTCCTGACATTTCACCTACATCTATGGCAGCATCCTCAGAGGTTGTGAGACCTACAATAGGCTTTGCAGGTGATTGTGTTGAATGTATTTTCGAAGGCTTTAATGTCTGGAATCACTGAGTTGTTGTAGGTTTTTGGGCTGTATAGCCATGTTCCAGAAGCATTCTTTCCTGACATTTCACCTGCATCTATGGCAGGCACCCTCAGAGGTTGTGAGACCTACAATAGGCTTTGCAGGTGATTGTGTTGAAACAAGCTGTAGGGTTTAATGTATTGTCGAAGGCTTTCATGGCTGGAATCACTAGGTTTTTCGGGCTGTATAGCCATGTTCCAGAAGCATTCTCTCCTGACATTTCACCTGCATCTATGGCAAGCACCCTCAGAGGTTTAGGGTTCCTTATTTATGCTTAATTAGGGGGCCAAAGTGGCAGTAACAGTGTGAAAACAAAAGGATCTTTAGAGCAACGACACATTACCCTCCCTGGCCTCAACCCTCCCTCCCTTTTCTGTAATCTACAGGAAAGGCTTTTTTGGTTCTTCCAGGTTCAGGGAGGGCGAATGTGAAGTGCTTTCCACGATTTGGTGGAACCTGTTTTGTTGCTTTAATCCAAACGGGCATCCGGCTCCTTTAAAAGTCTATTCATAGGGAAGGGGGTGGGGGTGAGGAAAGGCTGCTGTCTTTTTAACCTTGCTGAAGGACGCAGCAGTATTTATTGACGTATGCAAATAACAGGGAGGAGGAGGAGGGTGTAGGGAAAAACAGGAACCAGAATCAGTTTCTCATTGCAGGGCGAGAGCTCTGAGTTCCGGTGTCAGAGAACGAGACGTGGCGAAATTGCCGTATATTGCTGCCCTATAAGCACATCTTTCCTTTACACTGAAGGCAACCAAGGCATCGGAAAGGGTGAATGTATTTTTAGATGGCACTGATTCAAACAGCTTACTCCTTTGAGGGCTGGGGGAAAGAGAGGGAGGGAGGGGGGAAAAGGATTACATTTAGTCTCTCCTTGCAACTTACTAGCAGTGGGATTCTAGCTCAAGCCACTCTATGAATGTTAACAGTTTGCCTTTGTGTTGTTTTTTTTTCCTCTCCCCCTTCTCCCTTCCTCTCTTTTCAGCTGCGCAAACCATGCAGGATGATTTACTGATGGACAAAAGCAAAGCCCAGCCTCAGCAGCAGCGGCAGCAGCAAGACCCAAACGCAGCAGAAGCTTCTTCGACCCCCATCACATCAGAAACGCCCAAACCGGAGGACAGCAGCCCAGTGACTAGCATTGGCTCAGCAGCTCCTGCCCAAAATAGCAAAGAGAAGATGCAGATGGAGCCCCCCATCTTGCCAGGCTTGAGTTTCCACCAGCCTCAGCAGGAACCTACCGCTGGCACCTCCTTGTCTCCGTCCTTCGGAAGCACCTGGTCCACTGGGACCACAAACACAGTGGATGATAGCTTTTTCCAAGGGATTACGCCGGTCAACGGGACCATGCTTTTCCAGAATTTCCCCCACCATGTCAACCCTGTCTTTGGAGGCACTTTCTCCCCCCAGATTGGCCTAGCAGCCCAGACTCAGCACCATCAGCAGCAGCAGCAACAGCAGCAGCAAGCCCAGCAACAGCAAAGGAGATCCCCAGTCAGCCCGAACCAGGCATCCTTTGCCCAGAGGAATGCTGCTTATAGCCATCAGCCTATCATGACCAGCAAACCTTCCTCCTCTTCAGCCTCCACTTCTTCCCCTTCCAGCTGGAATAACCATCAAAATGCAGCCTGGAGCACACCTTCCAACCCTTGGGCTGGGCTGCAAGCTGGACGGGACCCACGAAGGGCGGTTGGGGTTGGAGTGGGTGTCGGAGTGGGGGTGGGGGTGCCCTCTCCACTCAACCCCATTTCACCCCTCAAAAAGCCCTTCTCCAGCAATGTTATTGCCCCGCCGAAGTTCCCACGGGCGGCTCCCCTAACCCCTAAATCTTGGATGGAAGACAACACCTTCAGAACGGATAATGGCAACAATCTGTTGCCTTTTCAGGTAATTTTTTTTTCATTGAGTGTTGGGGTGGTGGTAGTGATGTCTCTGGACCTCATCACACTAGAGCAGGGGTCCTCAAACTTCTATTTATTTATTTATTTTATTTAAGTAAACATACATGTGCAAGTGTTTGTTGCATATAGTGCAATACTTTCTATCTATTAATGTTCTATAATCCTTTATCTCATAATATATTTCTATTAAGGGGTCACAGTCTGCTATCTAAATGTTACATAGAAAGATATCATAGATTCTTACTTTACATCCACTTCTTCCTTGTCTACAGTCTTATAGGATCCTCTATATACATTTTTAATTTAACTTTACATTAAGGTGTTGAATCATTGGTTGCCATTCATTAACAAAACTTTTTAAACAGAGGGCCAGGTCAGAGTGCCTCAAACTAATGGAGGGCCAGATTATAATTTGAAAAAAATATGAATGAATTCCTATGCACACTGCACATATCTTATTTGTAGTGCAAAAAACACTTTAAAACAATACAATAATTAAAATGAAGAACAATTTTAACAAATATAAATTATTAATATTTCAGTGGGAAATGTGGGCCTGCTTTTGGATGATGAGATAGGATTGTTGTTGTCGTGTGCTTTCAAGTCATTTCAGACTTAGGTTGATCCTGAGTGAGGGCCAGGTAAATGACCTTGGAGGGCCGTATCCAGCCCCTGGGCCTTAGTTTGAGGACCCCTGCACTAGAGCATAGATCCACTTTAAATCCAGTTTCTACCTCCTGTAGAATTCTGGAGATTGTATTTTATGGAGGGGCCTTTAAACTGCTTAGCCAGACAGGTGTTAGGCCTCACTGAACTACAAACCCCAGAATTCTGTAGGAGGCAGAAACCGGATATAAAGTGTATCCATGCTCTGGTGTGATGAGGCTGTCAGTATGTGTCTTGTATTTAATTTTGTGTCAAACCAAATGTCATTTTGGCTGTTGACACCTTGCGCCCACATTAGTTAGGCCACTCTCCAGAAACCCTTCAAGCTCTCCTTCTGGCAAGAAAGATTCCTGTGTGTCCAAAATCCAAAGTGCATATTAATTAGATTGTGTTTCTAGACCAGTGGTTCTCAACCTTCCTGATGGCGTGACCCCTTAATACAGTTCCTCATGTAGTGATGACCCTTAATCATAAAATTATTTTCGTTGCTTCTTCATAACTGTAATTTTGCTACTGTTATGATTCGTAATGTAAATATCTGATATGTAGGATGTATTTTCATTCACTGGACCAAATTTGGCACAAATATCCGATACACCCAACTCTGAATATTGGTGGGGTTGAGGGGAGGGGTTGAGTTCATCATTTGGGAGTTGTAGGATTTATAGTTAACTGACAATCAAAGAGCATTCTGAACTCTACCAATCATGAGATTAAACCAACTTGGCATACAGAACTCCCATGACCAACAAAAGGTACTGGAAGGGTTTGGTGGGCATTGACCTTGAGTTTGGAATTGTAGTTCACCTACATCCAGAGAGTGCTGTGGACTCAGACAATGATGGATCTGGACTAAACTTGGCACAAATACTCAGTATGCCCAAATGTGAACACAGGTGGAGTTTGGGGGAAATAGACCTTGACATTTGGGATTAGTAGTTGCTGGGATTTATAGTTCACCTACACTCAAATAGCATTCAGAACCCTACCAATGATAGAACTGGGCCAAACTTCCCACACAGAACTCCCATGAGCAACAGAAAATACTGTGTTTTCTGATGGTCTTTGGCGACCCCTCTGAAACCCACTCATTGCCACCCTCTGAGGTCCTGAACCACAGGTTGAGAAACACTGTTCTAGACCTCTCTTTACCCTTTACAATTGTTTTAAAGGCAACCAATGTTTATTTATTCATTCATTTACAAGATTTATACCCTGCCTTTCTCACCCTGAAGGGGACTCAGAGCAGCTTACATGAGTGGCATTATTCCATGCCCAAACAACAACAATGAAAAGCAATTAAACAACCATTTAAAATAATATTAAACAACATATGTAAACATTAGATGAGTATTGTGCATAGAGCCCAAGCCAGATAATCAAACAATCATTTTAATCAATCCAGGGTCAATTCCAACTGTATTGTACAGAGAATTATTCTGGGGCAAATGCTTGCTCCCAAAGCCAAGTTTTCACTTGTTTGCAAAATGACAGGAGAGACGAGGCAGATCGAAACCCACTAGGGGAGGGAGTTCCACAGCCAAGGGGCCACCACTGAGAAGGCCATGCCTCTCATCCCCACCTGTCACGCCTGCGAAAGTGGTGGGACCGAGAGCAGGGCCTTCCCCAAAGATATTGACCTCTGTGATGGTTAATAGAGGGAGATGTATTCGGACAGGTAATTTGGGTTTTATAGGCCATTCGGGGCTTTATAGGCCAAAGCCAGCACTTTGAATTGTGCTCGGTAGCAAACCAGCAACCATATTTGCTGCTTGGTAATGACCATATGCTTTCTTCTACCTCTTTTCTGCCTGTATGTGATATTTTTAAAATCTCAAACATAAGAGTATTTTAGATATAGTCAAGTACATGGCTTCAAATCTGGAATGAAACAGCTGACTAAAAGCAAGAACATTTGAAGAATCTGGTTAATGGGGAGAAGATAATTAAAGGGCCAAACCTGTTCTCCTTTAAAGTGCTCTACTTTATTAATGCTGAGAAATGAGGTTCAACAGGATTCTGTTTGCAAAATAAGGCACATGACTGCAAATAAAATGCTGAAACTGCTGAAGCGTAATCATAGGACTGTGTGTAGGGTGTGGGTTTGAATATATTTGGGAAGAGGTTTGGGTGTGTGTTGACCTGAGTATCAGTTGCCTTTAATAAAGATTTTTTAAGGGCAAGAAATACATTAAGTCCAGAGAAGGTACCTGTGCACAATAGAAATAAAGTATATTTCATACATTAGAGGAAAAATAGAACAGGACATGACCTTCACAGCCATATTGCAATGGAGCCTATTTACTAGCTACATAAGCCCTGAAATATTTAAAGCGCCAGTGTCCTTGGCTAGTTTTGTTATCTAAGATGTCAAGGCAGATCAGTTGCAACAACTGAAACAGGAAAATAGACGCTCTGAAATTTTAATGCAGAATGGAATTTATCTTGGTGTTAAATGCTGCCTTAACTGAATAATTGGCACATACACTGTCCTTGTATCCCATATCAGATTATGAAGATAAAAGCTTGGAGGGGAAGTGTTGTCCCAAGGTTTTGCTTCCACTTATATGAATTAGACTGCTTTTTAAAATTGAAATTACTTTTATTGTTTATTTTTGAACTGGCCACAGATTTTCCCTACATACAATCCATAATCTGCATAATAATAAAAATAATAATATACATCATTAGGGCTGGATATAGTACAAATATATTCATTGGTACAGAGTAATCTTTCTGAAAGTGATGTTTTCTTTCATTCAAATAAGAATGTTGTCAAGACTTAATTTTGCTGCTTCATTCTGCTTAAAGGAAGAGCTGCTAATTTCCTATTGGTGTTCTAGTGCTGGAGGAGGAGTATGATTATGCCAGTCAGTCACTGTAGACTTAAAAAGGAGGGGGAATAAAGAGAGAGATATACTTTTTTTGGCCATTTCTTTTTCTACTGATTGTACTGAGTATTGTATAGTGTAAATTGTATCAGTCAATTAGTTACCTAGCATTGCATAGATTACCATAGATGGTTAATTTATGATATATCCTTCATCTGACTATTCTCCATTAAACCACTGGAACAGGCTAATTTACATAATGTTCCTTATAGATGATGATCTTTGCATGATGTGCAAACCTTAATATATCTGGTTCAAGGAAGTTTATACAGAAAACTAAATGGAGTGTTGTGTGGTTTCCAGGCTGTATGGCTGTGTTCTAGCAGAATTTTCTCCTGATATTTTGCCTGCATCTGTGGTTGGCATCTTCAGGGGATCATGCCAGCCCCAGGTGCAGGTGAAATGTCAGGAGAAAATGCTGCTAGAACATGACCAGTGGTTCCAGCTGTGAAAGCCTTCGACAATAAAGAAAACCAAATATTTTTTTAAAGAATAATTAGACTCAAAATACTTTGTTTAAGAAGGGAGAATGTAAAGTAATGGTTGAAAATTAGTTGTAAAACTTTTCATTTAATGTTCTCTTGAGGAAAACAAAACCCAAATGGCTGATGTAAAAGAGATGTGATCTTTACTTGAGATGTCTTCTCACCATGACGATGACAGATTGATGGCATGGAACTACCTTTAAAGAGTGTAGTGATCATCACTCGGTATTTTGTATGGTTTTAATCTGTTTGATTGATTGGTATGTGTTTTAATTGCTTGTATATTTAGATAGTTTATATTTTGATGAAATGTGTTTTATTGTTTATCTGTGTGGCATTGAATTTTTGCTGGATTTGTAAGCTGCCTTGAGTCCCCTTCGGGGTCAAGAAAGGCAGGTAGAAATAAAGTAAGTTAATAATAATAATAATAATAATGATAATGATGATGATTCACTATATAGTTTATATACAGAATATCTTGGGAAAGCCTAAAGACATTGTATTTGGAATGGGGGAGTGTGCACTAGGATCCTCCTACAGAAATCTTGGCATAATTATTAGATTATAATAGATTTATTGGGGCGAAATCATTATAGTTGAACCAGTAGTAAGAGAACTTTAGTACAGCAATATAATAATAATGCTAATAGTGGGAGCTGCATTAATACTAATAACTCCAAATGGGTTTTCATTTTTCCTATGAAGAATTTGACTACCCCACCCCACCTCCCCCTTTACACATTTTGCAACTTGGTGTCATTTGAAAATATTTGGGTTTTGTAGATTTAGTCTGGTTGTCAGCGTGGTTGGTGCTGGAAGTCACTGATTTGGCAGTTCTAAAAATAGCATTTTGTGAACTCATTAGCTTGCCAGCTCTAGTATTTCGTTATAACTATATCTATGACTGAGCAAATGCAAAATAATAATACCTAATGACAGGTGAT